TAGACTTAGCTCAAATGTCACCTCCTACATAAAGCCTTTGCCCATCCATATTAGGTAGAAGCAATGCATCTCATGACGCTTCCGCACTTTGGATGTAGTTGATGTGTGCGCACCTACCTTCTCCCCGACTGGATCACAGGGTTTGTGCCTCCTTCACCTTTGTCTCCCCAAAACCCAGCATAGTACTTTCATCTGTGCTTAGTAAATGTTTGCTGCAAGATGCTTGCCACCAAAACCTTATTAGTCCAGGAGAGTGACAGTCAAGGCACCAAGAACATCACCATCGAGCCCTGAGATAGGAGAGCATATTTTCTGAGGTATGTTGTCCCAGAGCCTGGCACTGGGCTCCCTGTGCAGACTAGAGACAACAGCAGAGTACCCGCGAGCTACCAAAAACCATTATTTAAATAAAGAATTTGATGTGTGAAATTTCAGAGTGCATTGATATAGTCATCGTAGGAAAAGTCAGAACTGTGTTGGGTTTCCTCTTATTTTGCAGTTTATAATTGTTCTTATTTTGAGTTACATATTGTAGGGCCTGGAGGGCGGGGTTGTTCCTAATCTTTTCATCACTTCAGCCTCTAAAGAGCTTCAAACCGCCCCTCCGAGACCTCCTTCTAGCAGCATCTGAAAACTCTCTCACCTCAGAGGAAAAAAAAAAAAGTGGATATTCTATTCTTTCTCAGTTCTGCCAATTTAAGGCATGATTTCAGAGAAATCTCTACGCCATTGTGTGTCTTGCTTCCTGCAATAGGAAGGTGGAAAGAATAACCATTTAGCACCTCATGACTGGTGAGAAATAGCTGGCGGTTAATTAATCAATGCAAAGGGTTTTTCAGATACTGTTTTCATTACTAATGCCCCATTTTCAATTGGTGACAGCAGAAGGCCCAGGGGTTGGTGGAGGAAGGCATTTCAACAGCCCAGGGTGGAGCCAACTTTCCCCCTCTACAGTGGGGGAACGTGGGGAGGGAGTATACCACCCTACAAAGGCCCTCCGCTTCCCCAGGGTTTCATCGCAGCACCTGAAGCAATGATGTTTCTCCAGCCCCAGCCCTTTGTAAAGACACATTTGTTCTGAATTAGTCAATTCTACTGGCGCACTCAGTTGTTACAAATAACCCATTTACCCTCTCTTGTGGAATTATCCCAGAACACATGTCTTTTCATTTTTAAAAAAGTTTATCCTATTATTATTTTGAATACATACTGAGCACCTGTATAGATTCTTTCGCCTAATGGATGTCAGTATGATTATTCTGTTGTATGATTAGAGATATGTTTCTGTGATTTCAGAAGCAAGGTTATACATAGTCACTCCAAAGATGACCCAGCAAATTTAGAAGTCCATTTAAAAACATGTCTCTACAATGTCCTGCAAACCCATTTCTTTCATAATCACTTATTAAGTGTCCGACCTAAGAGCCCTGGGGATGGTCAGGATTATAAATGCATATAAAATATGGTCCCTGTCCTCAAGGAGCTGACTGCAGGATTATTATTCCTCCACCAGGAATGTATAATCTCTGTGTTTTGCTCAACATTTCCCACTGTTGTTGTTTTACTTATTTCAAAACCCAGGACCTATAGGCAGTCCTGAAACAGAGGTACATGTTACCGATGTTGCCTCATCGACCTCTGGCAACCCTTTGGCAACATTTGGACAGCCGAAGGTTTGGAGCTGGAAAGAACAGGTCTATCCCTCCCCTGGGAGACCTATAGCAAATGGATTCTAATGGCAAAGCCTATGACTGTTACTCTTAAGCCCTCGGTGAACTACTAACCCACCATTTCTCTTTTGTGGCTTCCTCTGACCTTTAGATTTGTCCAGCAAACTACAGCACTTAACCTCTTTCTTAATCATTATTTAAACTGATTCTTGTAACTACACAGTAAGGCATTAAGTGTGTTAACCCCACATTACAGATGGGAAAAACTGAGGCTCAGAGACGTTAAGTCATTTGCCCAAAGGTCACCCAACAGTAAATGGGAGCTTAAAACTCCAGGCCTTTGGAGAGCTCTAGTGTTGCACTACCCCCGGCCTCACTGACAAGTCTGGTGTGTTCAAGCCTGTGCAGTGACCATTGGCAAAAAGTTGATTTAATCATTTGCCCTTTTTCATGATATAAGTAGAAAGCTTTCAGTTTGGAAGGTGTTTTCCAAAAATAACTTTTACCGTCTTATCTGCTTGACTTTCAACTTAATCTCTGATCTGTTTCTAACTTTGGACGTGGGGTTTCTGAATGTGCCCAGGTGGATGACGGAAGCCACCTGCTTCACGGTCGATATCTCAAAGCCGAAGAAACGCAGAAAGGTTTTTTGTTTGTTTGGTTGGTTTTTTTAACATCTTTACTGGAGTATAATTGCTTTACAATGGTGTGTTATTTTCTGCTTTATAACAAAGTGAATCAGCTATAAGCAAGAGGGATGTATATGCAGAAAGATTTTTAAGGACGCTATTTACATGTCAACATGAGCCAGAGAAAGCCATGTGAGACACTATTTTTCTCAAAGGTCAGACCCTGCTTGGTTTGTTACCAACCAGAAACCTGAACTCAAATATCATCCACTAAGAGTTTTTCCCAGTGAAAGAGCGAGTGGGGTCCATGAGTCTAAGACAGTTAAGGACCTTCAGACATGAAAGAAAATTATTTGGGAGCTAAAAGTAAAGGAGCAATAGATAAACTTTAAAATTCTGGAGTTCTCCCAATTAAACAATAAAGGAAACAAATGGATTGCTCTAGCCTCGGGCTTTCTATAGTTCTCTTGTTGAGATGGTAATTTAAATTGTAAAATCCCAAAGTCAACTGTAGATAACTACCTATCACAGGTATGAATCTACTGGGGAGGCCCAGCCCCCGTAAATACAGTTGGCTGGAAGGGACCCACGAAATACCCACTGCTATGAAAAAATTTACTACCCCGCATCGGTGACATCACCAATACGCAAAATTAAACCCATTTTATTCACAGGTGTACATTTTTTGTACCATCATATGTAGGTGGTTAAAAATGATGTTCAGTAGAAACCCACTCAAAATCAAAATTGAAAGAAAATCAGTTGCTATTTTAGCATTACAACAAGGAAATGCAAATTTAAGGAAGAAATTCTCATTGGCACAGTTCCTTGGTGACTAGGTATTCAAACATATTTGGACACAAGACACCCCGCTGTTTGGGGAGCTCCACAACACATAAGGTGTGAGTTACAGCTGAGTTTCCGGCTCGTTTTTGCTTCTCAGTTTCTACCCCTTAAAAGTTCATGAAGATAAATCTTGAAATATTTGACAAGTGTCACATGTGGAAATTATTCAGTGTCTTACTATCTTTTCCCTGGGGTGAATTACCTCCCCTGCCCTTCACTACCAAGGGCATTTGTTTAATCACAGAATCTTTATTTCTCAAGAGATATTTGCTGCTTCTATTTATCCCCCCACCTGAAGTCACAATCCTTTGTCACAGGACAATCATTTCCACAGCAACCAACTGTGATGTCACAATTGGGGGGAGGAGGAGAGTTCACAAAGAAAAGAGAAAGAGAACGTTTTCTTCTTCAGGCTAAGGTTTCTGAGATTTAAAACCACTGCTTCACCAATCAAAATATTTTAGCAGAAAAACTCCGTGACAAAGCTGCATTTCTTCAAGGTCTCAGCTGTGACACAAAGCATTTCAGCAGAAGTGTAAGGGCTGTGTGTTGTGGGTTTGGGAAGGGATAGAGATTTTTATTTCATTTCTTTCTAATTCTATGCCACTGATATCTGCCAGTAAAACACATTAAACATATTCCAGAAAGAGTTGATTTAGTCGATGAAAAATGTGTCTCCTGAGACCAGAGAAGGTACATTTTCTGTCTTACTATCACTTCCATAATAGGAACAATGTTTACATTTCCTCAGCCCATGCAGAGCCTCTAATGTATTCATGTTCTTTCACTCTCCAGAGGCAGGAATTGAGGTATTTGAGATTTTATTTTTTTAGCTACTGCATCAAGCACTTAAGATCTGACAATTGTGATGTGTATTCTCACTTGGTATTAAAAAAATAAAAGCTTCAGTGTTTGCATTTGATTAGTCTCTCAGCTTGGTGGCTAATTAAGCAGGACCAGGGAAAGCCACTTTCTTCAGAAACACCGCATCTTGGTTTACGTAGTGTAAGATTATTGACAGGTAGAGCCACACAATTTTTATTAAACTGAAGAGATTAGCTCTGCTGAAGAATTTCACCGTGACAACAAACTCTAGCGGTAATAATGATACCTGACACTTCTCAAACTCACTACAGGAGCCCAAATGGTCTCTTTTTCTAAATATTCTTTCAGCTCAAGTAAGGGAAGAGCTTCATTCAAACATTTAGCATATTCATCTGAAATTGAGTGTGCAAGGGATTTTCTTCTCCCTTGTAGAAGTGATGCAAAATCAGCATAAATATTTGTAATCTGTGCACTTTAGCTATTCTCTTACACTATAAATGATACACCCTGTCTTTCCCCCAGTTGGTTGAAATGCTAACCAGCTTTTCTCCAGATAGGGGCCATGTTGCCCACAGGAAGTCATCAGCAAAGTCCCTGGAAGCCTGGAGTGATGTGCAGTTTTCATTTAACATGCATAAAATTGTTGCCTATTCCCCCAGACTCAAAATATCTCGCAGTTTTAGGACCGGGAGGATTGAAAAGAGATGAGAGGGAAAGAAGGATAAATGTTGGAAAAGAAAAACTTCCATATTCCATGGAGTGAAGCAAAGTAGAAAGAGCCTATACTTGAAAAGAGGGGGAAACACTTTTAGAACACAAAGAGGGCAACAATTGAAGTTATTTACATACTTGGGGGTGGGGTGGGGAGGATTAATTAGTTAACGTTTGGCAAACGGTGTCTTGAAGACGAGTTCTGCGGAGGTGCTATTCTCACTTATTACTGTTATTAATTAACTGGGTGCATGCCAAACAAAAATCAGCCTCACGGTCTGCTTTCATTTCTTAACACCATATGCGATGTATTTTGCAGGAGTGATTCGGGAGAGTTATCTCAAAGGCCACGACCAGCTCGTTCCTGTCACCCTCCTGGCCATTGCGGTCATTCTGGCTTTTGTCATGGGAGCCGTCTTCTCGGGCATCATCGTCTACTGCGTCTGTGATCACCGTCGCAAAGACGTGTCCTCCGTGCACCGCAAGGAGAAGGAGCTCGCCCACTCGCGCCGCGGCTCCATGAGCAGCGTCACCAAGCTCAGCGGCCTCTTTGGGGACACCCAGTCCAAAGACCCCAAGCCGGAGGCCATCCTCACGCCACTCATGCACAACGGCAAGCTCGCCACTCCCAGCAACACCGCTAAGATGCTCATCAAGGCTGACCAGCACCACCTGGACCTGGCCGCCCTGCCTACCCCAGAGTCCACCCCGACGCTGCAGCAGAAGCGCAAGCCCAACCGCGGCAGCCGCGAGTGGGAAAGGAACCAGAACCTCATCAACGCCTGCACCAAGGACATGCCCCCCATGGGCTCCCCCGTGATCCCCACCGACCTGCCCCTGCGGGCCTCCCCCAGCCACATCCCCAGCGTGGTCGTGCTGCCCATCACGCAGCAGGGCTACCAGCACGAGTACGTGGACCAGCCCAAAATGAGCGAGGTGGCCCAGTTGGCGCTGGAGGACCAGGCGGCCACCCTGGAATATAAGACCATCAAGGAACATCTCAGCAGCAAGAGTCCCAACCATGGGGTGAACCTGGTGGAGAACCTGGACAGCCTGCCCCCCAAAGTCCCCCAGCGGGAGGCCTCCCTGGGTCCTCCCGGAGCCTCCCTGTCTCAGAACGGCCTGAGCAAGCGGCTGGAGATGCACCACTCCTCGTCCTACGGGCTTGATTATAAGAGGAGCTACCCCACGAACTCGCTCACGAGAAGCCACCAGGCCGCCACGCTCAAAAGAAACAATACTAACTCCTCCAATTCCTCCCACCTCTCCAGAAACCAGAGCTTTGGCCGGGGAGACAACCCACCCCCCGCCCCGCAGAGGGTGGACTCCATCCAGGTGCACAGCTCGCAGCCCTCGGGCCAGGCCGTGACTGTTTCGAGGCAGCCCAGCCTCAACGCCTACAACTCACTGACCCGGGCGGGGCTGAAGCGCACGCCCTCGCTAAAGCCGGACGTGCCCCCCAAACCTTCCTTTGCCCCCCTTTCCACCTCCATGAAGCCCAACGATGCGTGTACATAATCCCTGGGGGAGGGGTCAGGTGTCGAACCAGCAGGAAAGGCTAGGCGCCCGCTCAGCTCAGCAAGGTTCGCGGCTGCTGAGTACCCACCCGACCAAGACGGCCGCGGCGGCGCCCAGGACTCTGGGTCCTCCCCTGAGACGCGGGGGGCGGGGGGGGGCGCTCTTGAAAATTGGGCCAAGCTGTTCGGTGAAGGTTCGCGACGCGGGACTCACCTCCATTCTCTTCCTTCACTCTTCCCCCACGCCCTGCAACAGGTCGGACTCACGAAAGACTTCAATCAGCATCACAAACATGAGCCAAAAGCACATACGCACCCACCCACCCAGCCCCGCGTGTGCGCCTGCGCGCAAGTCTGCGCGCACGCGCACGTCACACACATGCACACACACGCGCGTGAACGGCAATTGCAACATTGTGTCCATGACTGCACCAAGCGCTGCCCGACTGGGCGAGCGTTCCAACCTGCAAAACACAGATACATTTTTAAAAATCATGACAATTAAAAAGAAAAAAAAGAATTCATTGATAATTCTAACTCAGACGTTAACAAGGGCAGAAGTTTACTATGCGCAGATACTGTGAAATGCCCACCAGTGTTACAGCTTTCTGTTATAGCAGATGAATGCCATGTTGGGCAACTATGTCATAAATTTCTGCTCCTCTCTTTTAATGAAATAACCTGACCGTTAACGCAAGTAACTATTTATTTTTCACGCTTTTTTCCTTAAGGAAAGGACTCTCCACATACCGTCCTCTGAACAGCTCTTCAGAAAGTCCTTTGACAGTTAAAACTATTTAACGTGAAATCCATTAACTGGAATAATTGAGTTTATTTTTACAATAAATTCACTGAGTAAGTAAGTTGCAGCTGGAATCCTGAGCTTGTGTTTGGACTGATATCTAGCTAAAGGAAAAACTTAAGAGGGGAATATTTATTTAAATCTACCAGTTAAATTTGCTGGTCAGGTCCCTGGCTTATAACATGCAAAAGAGTAATTAGTTTAAAAGTCCTTCCAGATCCTAAGTTCTAAAGCAACCAGGAGAGGAACTTTTAGAATGGAACATCGCGTCCCATTGCTGCCAACATGGCTTTGTCAGTGGTTCCTACTTTCTGTGAAGGCACCAGCTTGTGATATGCCATCTCATTTCACTTTGCATGTGAGACAGAAAACAAAATCCACCAACCGTGTGAACTAATTAATATGCTGGCTGCTACCTTGCATCAATTAATGGTTTGATCACACAGGTTTTTCGTGGGGTTACATCTGTGAATAGCCTGTTTTCCACATGTAAATTTGTGCCTTACACCCTGAGTTGTGTACACTTGCAAACTGTCATTATGATCAACTTTTCCCCCTTTTGAAATAAATGCAGATATTTATTTAACCCTCCCTCCCCCCACCCCCAGTCCAGCCCTCTGGAAGATTAGCGTCCAGCAGATGGAAGAACAATGCAGTGGTGATGGTTACAATCCTGCAGCCTGGGAAAGCTGGGCGACACCACACCCTCTGATTCACGCATTCTTCTGGTCGTGCCAACTCCAACCACCCTTTGGCCATGCTGCCAAGCGTGGACCCCAGTGTTGTGGGTGGCAAATCTCCTTTCTTCCTCCAGAGCTCCCTGCTTCCCTTGTATTCTCAGATCATTTCAACATGATGATATCCTCATTAGCCAGCAGAAAAGGGACTAACATCCCAGTCCTGATTCCTGCTGTGTCCACTGCCTGGAGAACACAGCAGTGAGGTTGGGCAAGCACCTGGGTGGAGTCTCCAAGCCATGTGCGCAGCACACAGGTGCAATGCTCACAAAGAAATGACATGGAAATAGATGCAGGCAGGCTGGTCCCTGCTGTGATTAATGAGTAACTCCAAGTACAAGGCCAACAACAATGGATGCTACAAAAACGTTGACTGGGGCAAAAGGTTTTTAATTTTTTTAAATTTCTTTATCCTTTTGCGGGTATTGTTTGTAGGGGGAGGGGGTCGGGCGTGTGTTTTTCCCCTTGGTTTTCATTAGCTCAAGCACACACAAGGGACTTTTGTTTACTCTTATCACGAACAAAAGAATTGTCAACATACTGTAAACTGTGAGCATTGTTGGTTGTTATCGGTTTTTTAAAAACAGCTAAACAGTATATTTAGTGGTCTCTTTGTCTCTTTTTCATTTCCAGTTTGATCTTCTGGGTTTAGTATTGTCTTAAAAAGAAAACTTTCTAGAAAAGACAGTTGGGGATAATTTTGAATTGGCTGTGAAAAGTGGTACCTCCGTAAACAGAGTGAGACCTGGGCGTGTCGCAAGGGCACGTGCACAGCCTTTTATTCCAAACACCCCTTGCAGTTTTGCTGTTGTTCGGGATAGGTTTTTGTTATTTTTGTGTTATGTTGTTGTTTTGTTTGTTTTGTTAGTGGAATCAATGTTCACACCCCGTGAACTCTGTACCCTGAAACCATGAAACTTTGCTAGGAACAGAGATGTTGTTTTCTTCCTTCTATTTTCTTTAGAAATGTGGAACTTAGGAAGGTGTGGGTATGTATCACCCTGCTACCCTCTCCCCCAAGCTTCACTCCCAGGAGTACTGAGGTGCAACACCTGCTCTCTCGTCCCCATGTGCGGGCATCAATGCCTCAGCTGTGTTACAGAGTCCCGTGTCAAACTTCCACCCCAGTCCCTGTATCCCACAACCCATCACTTGTGGTGTTAACCCTGAAATGCCCACAGGTATTGAGCTGGTCTTCTGCATTTAAGTATTTTCCCTTTTTCTTTTGCTCCCCACAGCGTGTGGGGAGAGGGTCCATAAACCTGAGTGTGCCTTTGCTTTCCACCCTTGCTAGACACTGGTAGATGCAACCAACTCAGATTTATATTTGTTGTAAAGTTGTAAAAAATATTGTGATGTCACCAATTTTCCTTCCATCTCCACACCCCCTAACATCTGATTCACGACTTAATGTATGTTGTAAAAAAGAAAAAAAAGAAGGGAAAAAAAGACAAAAAGGCAAGGAAAAGGCTCTTTATTACTTAAAAGTAATAAAGCAAGACTGTTCTACATTCTCTTTTGTGTCCTGAATGCTTTTATTTATCTCATAATTTCCCCCTTTTTGCCTAGGGTGCTCCTCTTTCCTCCATCTCTATTTGGCTTCCAAAGCATAAATCACAATGTAGTTAGAACCATTTGTCTGCAATACCCACACCCTGCTCCCCAAATTATTGAAGTGTTCTCTCTGCCTGCACCCAGCCTGGAGCAGGATCAGAGCAGAAGCCACTGGTAATTAAAAGGCAGAGCATGCGTTGACTCCCTCAATTCATTTCACGCATTTTCTTTTTATGGGCTTGTTCATCATCAAACATTTATGGTAGGCTTGATAGTTAAGGAGATCAAGGCTAGGATTTTACTATGTAAGGTCCACTAAAAATAGAACCTGGGCTTCCCTGCTGGCGCACTGGTTGAGAGTCCGCCTGCCGATGCAGGGGACACGGGTTCATGCCCCGGTCCGGGAAGATCCCACATGCCGTGGAGCGGCTGAGCCCGTGAGCCATGGCCGCTGAACCTGCGCGTCCGGAGCCTGTGCTCCGCAACGGGAGAGGCCACGACGGTGAGAGGCCCGCGTACCGCAAAAAAAAAAAAATCCTTGCACAGATGTGACTTCAGCCTTTTTACATATTAATAAGGTGGAGGGTGCAGGATTTTACTCTTTGTTCGCATCTATCTCTTGTAAGCCGGAAGACACGGTCAGAGCTATAGTGCAATGCAGCACTTGATTTTCATTTTGCAGGGTAGCCTTTTGAAATGCCTAGATCAGGGCTTTTCTTCCCCCTCTGGAATATTTTTAAAACAGTTATTTAAATAAGTCTTCAGCTGTAGTATTTTACTTTTGACCTTCTGAAATAATTTTTTACAAGTGTTTTGGGTCAGTTTGAGTGTGGGAAGCTGCGGCTGGACCTCAATTTACACCTACAATGATCTAGTCACCTTCTGATAACTCACTTCCAATTGTGTTACTTGAATCCCACCCATAGGGTGAGGCGCTGTCAGGCACAAAAGTTGACTAGAATATAGTTGCTGCCTCCTCATTTATAAGGAGAGTGGACACGGCCTCTGTAATTGCCGTTGGGAGACAGGAACAAAGTGCTGAGGAAAAGGCCCAGAGGTTTGGGGCTCGAGGCTACACACGAGCTGGTCCTTACGGAATCAGTTCTCTGGACGGCTAGGGCAGGCAGAAGGGAAAACTTGTACAAAGGTGCCGAAGGTGCTCTGACTGGGACACAGAAGGTTTAGTGGACCTTGAGCAGGGTCTGTGAGAGAGCCTGACAGGGCCAGGGCTGGGAAGGGGGTTGGGGTCCGATCGGGAGCGGCCTGTGGACCATGTGCTAGGATTTTAGCTGATGGACAGTGGAGTGCATTTGGAGACTATAAAGCCACAAGCACATATATATGTTTGTGCTTTAGAAAGCTACCTGGCAGTAATGTGGAAATGGTCCAGGAAGAGGCTGCGGGCTGCTGGGCAATGTACCACGTGGCATGCCAAATTGGTAGGAGCAATGCGTGAAAACCCCACATCCAGTTTCGGATTCTTTAGGAAACAGAACTGAATCAGCTCTGTGACCATTCCTCCTTTTGTCGGTCAGAAGAGCTTCCTTCTTACGTGACTGACGGGTTTGCCCTGCCTGGTTATATCCAAATGTCAAATGGAGAGAATGGCCAACAGCTTGTCTGACCCTTTCATTTTAAAAAATGAGAAGGCTGTGGTCCATTGAGTGAAAGGACTTGCCACGATCCCAAAGCTGGCAGTAGAACACTCTTCCAAGGACGAATTTATTGTCTTTCATGCCCTCTTCATTCATATCATTAGAGTAATGTTAGCTAAAAAGACCTGACACTCGCTCCTCCCAAACTTCATCCCCAAATCACTCTGCCATCCTTTGTCACAGGAAGGCCTGCAGACACGCCTCACTCTTCCCCAGCTGGGCATCCCAAATTCCTTCATCTGGGCCGAGGCAAGTGGGTCGGTTGGAGCTCAGATCACACTGTAGACAGTCCCTGCAGTGCAACCTGATACTTGGGATGGTGGCTTTTGCTGAAGTCAGCTTTGTTCTTGTCTGGTGAAGAGGTGACAGAGGCTGAACAGGTGCAGCCTGTATTTTAGCTGGGGCCCCAGGGATGTCCCTGCTCAGGCCTGAGGAGTGCCTCGGATAACCTAGATTTTGAATTGTTGTGTTTGCTTGCTTGCCTGTTACAGGGTTGGTGGCTTCTGCCAGATGTTTTCAGACTGTTGGCTCTCAGGAGTGGCTGTCCCAGCACTGCCAACAGGCTAGGTGTTTCACGGGGCCAGAGCTGATGTCTTAGACCTGCCTGCTTTCCTTAAGTGCCATGCCAAGCAAACACAAACTGGTCTCATTGTTCAGTCTCCTAAGTTGGCAGAAGCCAAACAAGATGCCCAGAACCATGGTGCCTAGGCGTTTGCATGAACAAAAGCTCTTTCCAAAAAAGTCATTCAGCAAGTGAAACAAAAGTGGGGAGTACTAATCAATTTCAGACATGGGATATTGAGCTGGAGGGAAAGGGGTAAGGGGAATTTCAAAGACCCTTTAGTAACAAAATAACACAATTAAGAGCGTGTCCTGGCTGAGCACTGCGACAGCTGGGTGCTTGGACTCAGTAACCCTTAGAAACCCACACCTCACGCCTGTCTTAACCCCACGTGGTGATGTGTCTCTTGTACAGAATTGGGAAGGAAGGGCTCACATTTATTGATCGGGCCTGCCAGACAGATGGGGATCTTCAGTATTCCATTTAGACTATTGTGTATCCTTAGCTCTAACCCCCCGGGGATGCCTGGAGGTGGGGGGCAGTTGACCTCAACAGAGAGCTGTATCTGAACTGATGTGTATTCAATGTGACTGGGCAGAAAAATGTGCAGATGTCCCTCTAGCAAATGGAAATGAAATTTGAGTAAATCAAGAGAGGCAGATGAGTGGTGGGGAGTTCCCCATCCCCCTCTGCAAACACGTCCCTGCGCACATGTGCCAACAGCTGCTGTCATGAGGCTTTTTCCTCTTGGTGTCTAACACCAAACATGTCACAGGGGTCAGAACCAGTGTCTGCTGAAGGTGGACCCTTTGGGAGGTCTTTCACCCCTCTTCCTGGTAAAACATGCATTCCACCTCAGCACTTTCTGGTCAAATGTGAACTGTCATAAATTACAGTCTCAGGAGTGAGAGACAAGACCTTTGCAGAGGGGCCTGGACACGGGTCGCTGGCAGCCCACGGATGCTGACCGAGGTGACTAGCGGTTTTTTATTCTTCCTAATCTTCCTAATCTCTTCAAATAAAAGGAGATTTTTCCCTTGAGAATCACTAACATCATCCCCAGAGCAAGTTACTGGTCCCGCTGATGGAGCTGCAATAACAGTCCAAATAAGGGGATGCTAATGAAGGGGAAAGTAAGTAACCATGAAATTGGAGGCATTTTTCTCATTGATGATTTTCATTTTTTAAAAAAAAACAGATGAAGGTGACATTACACAAGAGCAATGCCAGGTAACCAGCATGAAAGAAACTCCAGCAGGATTCCCAGGGGTCTCCTAGGATGAGGAAGATGATGAGAACTCTTGTCTGTGAGCCAAACGCTCTCTGTCATCCTGTTCATCATGACACCCGCCCTGACCATGTGACAGGGTGGTGAGAAAGTGGGTGTTTGAGAGAGAGGGTAAGAAACTTAGTTCTCAGGTGTGGACACAGAACATTTTGCAGACCTGGCCCATGTCAGTGCGTAAGCACGAATGTCAATAATAGGGCTAACTTTTGCTTCATAAAAGATGAAAAATGGAATGGTGCCAACCCAAGAGGAGCAGGGCTTCTGCTTGTGGATGACATGACAATTTACATCGGGGGCGTTTTACAGTTCGCAGACATAATCTTGTCCGTTCTATTATTAGATCCTCAGAACAGCCTAGTGGGGTGGGCAGCAGCACATGTATGATTCTTCTTATTTTACAGAAACTGGAGTTTGGAGAGGAGGGATCTATTGGAACAGTGATTGAAATAAAAATGGAGTCATGTTTCCAAAACCTGTGTGTTGACATCATCCCCTCAGCTCTCTCGGGGACACCTCAGGTTACACAATTATTCTGTTTCACCAAAGGGGAAAAGCCCCTCAAGAGCATTTCCCAGGAGCGGCGGCTAACAACAGTGAAGTCCCCCAAATAAAGGCCAGGCGCACACGTTCTATTTTAAGGGTATTGTGCTCTAATATTTTTCCATCATTAAAGAATACATCTCTTCCTTCCTGCGTCTGCAAAGTCCTGATGCCAGCAGTGTTATGAGGAACTGTCAACAAAGCAGGAAAAAAAAGAGCTGAAGCCGAATTCCGTGACCTCCCTTCTTGAGATGCACCCTCCCACTTCAGGGGCAGTGACAAGGGCTGCCTCAGTGGAAGAAAAAGATGAAAGGCCTGGCTTTCAGGGCTTCTTCCTTTTACCCGAGCCTCACAGAGCACAAGAGAAATGTAAGAAGCTTAAGAGAATGCAGGCTTAATTGGGAACAGAGTCGAAGAAATGCCCTATATCTAGAAGGGTAAAGCGTTTGCCTACCCTTCCCTTCATAGAAGAATGAGGTAAAGTAAGTATGAGAAGAAGAGGTGAGAAAGAAATACCCCTGCTGACTTCTCATGTTAGGCCCATTGGCCACTTAGGCACTATGGGTACCAACTAAACAATTCGACATCATCTCTGATGTCAATGGGGGGATGATTCTCCCGATAGGAGACAGAAGGTAGAGATGGCCTCCACCTAGGTAACTATCTTCCTCTGCCACATCACTGCCCATGTTCCATGCTGCCAGTGCTGAAGACTGGCCGTCCTAGAGTTCATATGCTGCTTGGTATGAGGGCACATGGTGCAGAAGAGGCAGGGCCCTCTTGTCTGGAGTGGGTGGCTGGCCTCCCTCCTGCCCTGGGGGCAGTGCGGCCCAGCCAGTCGCCGTGTCGGGCTATTCCATAGCCCTCTGAGGAAGCCAGCATCTTCACTTGCCTGCTCAGCTGGTAACCTCAGA